TCTTCTTCCTTATATTTCTTCTTTCAAAACTTAATTTATTACGACTGAAATTCTTTATAATTAATTATTGATTATTCAAAAAGTATCTACTCTATAATTTTTTAGGAAAAGTCAGTTCGACTAAAAAGAGTGTGCGGCAAAAAAATATTCCAAAAGGCGAATTAATTATAAACTAACTTAAGACGCGGAAGTATATATAACAAGTAGTCAAACGAGTTAAAATTATCTATGTCAAAAATTACTATCAAATTGCTACTATCGGACAACGTCCGAACTACCCAGTCGAAAGCGAAAGGAACTAGACATTTTTTTAATGCCAATGAAAAAAAGAACGAAGGATACGCACGCATGACAAGACACGGGACTAGTTCTGGTGCGGCGTCAAGCAAAAATCAAACGAACGCGTTTTATTTTTGATAAGTATGTATAACACATTGTAGCTCCGCACCTACAAAAGACGCCGTCCTTGCACGCTCACTTGCAGCACATTTCCATGCAAACCGTGTAACAGCATGCCAGTAATTGAGAGATAAATAGATAAGAAAACCGTATTATACGATAAATGAAAATTCTTAAAACTAATGACGAAATTCGTATGTAAAACGGATCGATTGAGATATTTTTGGCAATAGATTTCTCCGTGGAATATTATGTCCGGAAGGAAGTACGGTCAAGGTCGGATTATCACTAGATGATCATTCTTTTTGAATTATAATTAATATTATTTTCAATTTTGTTATTAATATTTGCATTATATATCGCAATAAATTCAATAAAACGTCGAATTTTGCCGTCTCACTTAAATAATTCTCCAAAAATTTACTTTTAATTTTGTATATGTAGGTGTAATTTAATTTTATATATGTATATATATTATATACATATACATATAAAATTAAATAAATTATAGGTTTTATATTTATTTTCCTTTCTTTTATTTTTTAAGTAAATAAAAATTATTTATTAAATTAGTAAATTTTTTTTGTTTTAAGACTCAAATAATAAACTTTTCTCCGATTTATGACAGTAATAATTTTTTTCTGTGAAGCTACTGAAATTTTATATATAAAACCACAATAAGCCGGCTTTTCTTTCTCGATTTGTTGGTGAAAGTGATTATCAAAAAGCCGACCACGACAAGACAATTTAAAATGTACGCACAGAATCAATTGCTTAGGAATCTCGCGATTTATTCTCTTCTATCTACAGCGTAGAATAACAATGCGACTTTTACGTGGAAACGAGGTTGAAGAAAAGAGAGTGTACAAGTTGAACATCAAGAGAAACAATATGTGGAACTTGTTTCATGCGGTATTTATCTTTGCGAACTAATTAAATTCACTATTGTCTTATAATATAGCTTATATCGAAAGAAGTTTTCAAAATGCTTTCTGTTTGTATTAATTTTATGATACTATTCAAAGAGCGTGTGGAAAACAATTTTTATTTTACAGCTCTTTATTTTATTTGAAAATAAATAAAAATGTTAAAAGTGTCAGATGTACTATTAAAGAAATGTTACCTTGTGACGATTTATGGCGTCAGAATAATTTCATAAAAATGTAATTTCATAAATAATTTAAATGAACTTTAATTATACACATGTACATAACGTTAGCAGTCTAATATAACAAACTCGAACTGTTACCAGAAAAATATTTATTAAAGGCATTTCGTGCATCTATAATGTAAAACCGGTAAGAAAAAGAGAGAGGAAAGAGGAAAATTGAAACATATAAATTGTAAAGGAATGTAAACTTATTTACATTCCTCTATTTTACAGAATTTGTACTATATTTATTAACTTTACTTCACGCGACAAATCACACGCGATATTAAATTTTATTCTTTCTCAAAATGTTTTCAAGGACTTCACACTTTCTAAAATGATAAATCAAAGACATTATTATATTTTTATAATATAAATTCTTCAGAAGAAAGAATTATAAACTAAAAAAAAAATATTAAATTAAATCATAAAAATTATTTCTTATTAAAAATCTATTTAACCTTATATAATAGCTACACAATGTTGTAAGAAGCACAATTAAAGCATTAAGTTTTTTTATATTTTGAACCGTTAGGAACTAGAAAACTGCTTTAAAAAAATGCGATTTTTTTAGGAAATTATAAAAAATAAATAAAGCTCAAACACTTCATATTCTTATCATCTACCGTTAATTACAGTTAAAATTTAGTTCAATACCGTACAAGTAGCGATTTGATTTGCCGATGCTGAGTCGATATATAATCCTTTCTGATAATAAATTATATTATATAAATTATCGACTCAACATCGGTAAGTCAAGTCACTGCTATGACCTGAATTAATGCATGGCATACATACGTGATCATTTCATTGAGCGCATCGGTGGACACAACAGTTGAGTGAGCGCCCGCTACTATTGGTGTATTCTTCTATAGCTAAAGATCTGATTGGATAATCTAGAAGAATATACCAATAACAGCAAGCGCTCACTTAACTGTTAAGTTTACTGAATGCGCCATAGTGTACACAGGTGTATACTTACGTTTTACCAAAGCTCTGACAACAGTGACAACACTCGGCATTATTTCTGAATTCCTTAGGAAATCGCAAGAAATGGCGGACCCCAAATACGCTGATTTACCTGGAATTGTAAGTTTTCTTATACCTACTTTACACGGTTATTATAATTTTATGCATTTCCTCATGAATAAACAGTTTTATATCGTACACTGAATGAATGTCCTAGGCGTACGACCAGCTTGACGTTTATGAGACAAATGATTTGCCAGAATCGGAGCAAATGCAAATGTACTGCGAGGTAAAAGACATAAAATATGCATTGTACATAACATGTTTTTTATTGTATTAATTGATCGATTTGTTTAGGATGAACCTGATAGCTCTTGCGTGGAACAGCTACACATCAGTGCTAAAGAGGCATTCAACAAGTTCAAGGGCAAGCAGATTGTCGGAAAGCCAGTTGATTTCTCAGATCGTCTATCTAACAAGCCAAGAACAGGATACAAGTGAGCTATTCTAACAATATGTTTAACAGTTTAGAACAATATATAAACACAAGTATTTCCAGATTCGGCGATTGGGAACTTGCTGGTGAGGACGAGAAAGAGACTCCTCTCCAAAAGTTCCAACGATTACAATGTGAAATTAAGGAATTATACGAAGAGTTGAATGAATTAAAGGTAAATTATCATTGTCAATAGAATATGCTAAAATTATTCTGTAGTTTATAATAACACCCTAAGAATTAATATACATTGATAATGTATGCAGGAAAAATCCAAGGATGAGGAAGAGATCAAATCTGTGAGCGAAATCATTGCTCAAGCACATCAGATAGAAAAACAATTGGTTTCTCTGAAATTGGAAGAATGTTTAGGATCTGATGTAGTAGCAAGTCTATCAGATCCACAAGGCACTATACTTAAGTATGTGAAATTGAAAACCTACTATCTATTATGTACAAATGTCATTTTTCCTTTGAAGAATTGTATTATAGAATGATGTTAATTTTACAGGCAATTGATATCGCAGATAGAATTGTTTAAGCAAACCAGTATGCCTTCCACCAAAACGTCGGAGAGTAAAAAGACAGACGAGTTGGTTGAGCCTGGTACTCTTAAGTATCAAATGATGTATTTGCCAGAAAAGGCAAGATTGCAGGAAGCTGCTAGAATCGCACAGCTCGAGCAAAGACTTTGCTGTCTAGAAAATATCATAGGAACAAGTAACGACAAGCTTTCGAAATTCTCGCAGGTAGGCCTCATTAAAATTTTTCAAGCATACATATTTTAAAAAGATTTGTAACTTCATTATTCTTCACAGAATCTTAAATGTCAAGGCGTCATGGAAGCTGTGCAACAATTAGAAGCGAAGGCTTCGTTGTTAGATGTTAATCAATTAGACACTATCGAAACTAGATTAGGCACATTGATTTACCGCATGGATAGTATTGCGCAGAAAAGGGCAACAACGGAACAAGAATCGGAACAAGAGCAAAAGGTAAGACACCAACCGAGTGTTTTTAACTTTACAATATATCTTGCATAATAAATCATTTCTTTCACATTTTTTTCTTATAGATCTCGGAAATGTATGAAATAATGAAGAAAACGGATGCTATATCACAAATATTACCGCAAACAGTAGAAAGATTATTGGCATTGAGTGATATTCATCAACAAGGTATAACTAATCAACAATAATAAATGTATGCTTGTCTAAAAATGCATTCTAAGAAAATATATTGCATTTCAGCTGCTGCTTTCAGTAAATCTTTAATAAAATTAGAGGAGCTGCAAATAGAAATCTCGTCGGGATTAGAAAGCAACAAGTCTCTACTGAAGGGAGTTCAGGAAAGTTTTGCTTCTAATATGGAGGTCATAAAAAGCAACTTGGCGCTGCTCGATGAACGTATCAAAAAATTGAACAAATTAAAGTAGAGATCTAGTCGTATAGCGCAGCTAGATCAATTTATTAAAATCGCTTTATATATTCGGAGTCTATATATTTCTATCAAGTTAAGTTATTGTTTATTTAATATGATTTATAAATTTTATATATTTTGCTTATATCACGATTATTTCGTTATTTCTTCTTGAATATCTTATTATAGTGTAACATTTAATTTCTACAGTATAATTACTGAAATAAAAGCCTACTAAAGTCGTTTAGATATGCAATGCACATAAGAAATATAACTTCATGTAATAAAACATTCAAATTAAAATAAAACTGGAATTTCAGTAAAAAAAACTTATAAGTTTTATTGAATATTTTATATATATATATATATATATATATATATATATGTATATACGAGATGTGTGATATGAATGATAGGAGAGTTAACGAGACTTATGAAGGATAACTTAAGTATAAGTTGATTAAATTAAAAGTCAGATAAAATAGAAGGTAATAAAAATGTATATAAAGGTTCAGTATATCTCGTTTACATAGGATAATATGATGGAAAAAAATCATTGTATTCACCTTTTTACATCTGTATATCAGACTTTTATTTAGAAACAATTAGAATCTTAATTTTTGGAAAAACCACTTGTTTTTACCGTTTTTATACCTGAAAAACAATCAAAAATTAGATAATAATTATGATTATAATGCACGGATTTTGAGGTGACAGCAGTATATTAAATTATGTACCTCTCTTCAAATTTGACACGCGTCTGGAAGCGAACCTTCTTGCGTTTCATTGGGTCCTTAAGATCTTTAGGAGCCACTTTTTCTAACTGTAGATCCACTGTATATCTCGTTGGCATTAAATGATTATAATTTAAGATCTAAAATGTTTTATAAGTAAATGAGAAGATATAATAAAAATATTGAAAATTAAACAATGGAAAATTTCAACTTTATCAAGATTTCCAAAAAAAATTTTATGAAAATAAGAAAATGTACCTTAACGAAGGGCTTGATTTTAGACCGTTTATGCAGTTTACCCTTGCCCATCCTTTTGTGGACTTTGCGTGGATACCGGTCAATGCCTGCAACCATAGCATGTCCATATTGTTTTTCTGCTGTACCCTCATCATAATTACGCATGACGATAGCTTTTCTTCCTGCGTACCGGCCGCTGAGGACCAGCACGACTTTTCCTATTTTCATAATCTTCACCATCTTGGTGTATGCTGAAAAAGAAACAAGGCATATACATATAAACTACAAATTATGACTTACAAGGTAACAAACTTCAAACTATGACATAACTATAAATTCTATTCTGGCGAATGTTTCTACAGAACCGAAACGTTAGTGTTATTATTTTTCATCTAAAGCCAATCATATCGAGATTAATTCTTGCTGGCAATGTAAACATCTTAACATATCAAGCGTCACATAACCTCTCGTGCCGCGTAAGACAAATTTATAATCTAAGAAAAGACAAATAGAATCAGAGGCGTCGCGTTACGTGGTGTGACGTTCCAAGAAGTAACAGAATCGCGAGAAATTGATGACAACCGAGCAGCCGGTCGTTGTGGAACGCAACGTGAGGTTCGACTGAAGAGGTTAACCCCGCGATTGTCTAATAGCAAATATATTCCGAGGGCAGGAATCAAACATCAACACGTGAATGGGAATCGCGTTGCACATCAATCACAAACGCGGCGCGAAATGTGGCGGAAAAACCGTTAAAACATCCGATGCTTACGGATTATTCTATACAGCAACACGTATCACGCACCTTACGGCTTTTTTGTACCGTAGAAAAGGAAGTTGATCACATCATGGACTATGAAACGATAGATGTGCCGCAGCACATCCGCTTGATTCGCCGAGGTTGAATCGCGCAAACGCGTTCAATCGACCATTGACCATTCTAGACAAGAAAAAGTCCAAAATTGAGATATAAGATATCTAAATAGGCGAGTTGTCTTAAAGACGTCTTTTAAAAAAATGTCTTTAAAACGTTTTTAAAACGTTTTATATCTTATTTTTGGATATGTTATTTCAATATATTTAAAATCAATTGGTTTGGACTATATTATTATTTATACTTTAATTGTGGAAAAGGGTTTTTAAATCTGAGTTAGAAAAAGACTTATTAAAAAATAATCAGTAAAATAGACAATTTTAGGAGATTCCTTTAAACATTTAATTCTTTAAAATATTTACTTTCGAGCCCCATTGATCACAAAAATTAGGTCTGTTTTCTGTAGCTGAACTAGTGTACACTTTTGGAACTTAAAATGAGATAAGGCCTGTTCTTTTTGACTAAACTTTTGTACCAGTTTATTTTTCTTTTTCTTTCCTCCTGAAGAGAAAAGGAAAAAAGATGAACTGGTGCAAAAGTACAATCTAACAGTACAATACATTTTATAAAATATGTATTTTATAGTTCGAAATATTTGCATTTTATTTTTATACTCAAATTAAATTAGTGTACAACGGCTTTAATATGCATCAGTGCTTTCAATCGAATTCGCCATAATGCTTATTATATGAAGAAGAAGAAAATGCTTTTAGAGGAGTTTATTTCCGAAAAAAACTACCAAAAATAATTATTAATGCATCAGATTTAAATTAAAAGCTATCGAAAGTAAAAAGACCAGTGTGACAAATTAAATTTAAAGGTTTATAATAAGGCATATAATAAGCATTATGGCGAATTCGATTGGAAACACTGATGCATATTAAAGCCGTTGTACATTAACGAAAACGACATTTCGATCGAACTAATTCAGATGATCACTTTGAAACACACTTTTTGACGACTTCATCCATTCAAGAAATCGAGCATCGTATAATTTTATTTTTAGCCTTCATGATAATATCTTATCAATGGTTTCGGTTATGATTCGTAGGCGCGATCGCAACTCTCAGTTCTTCTATTTCCATGATTCCCTCTCCTTGCTCCATTCTTATCACTGCGCATTGCTTTAATGCACGTAATCGCGTGTTAAATACACGATCTTCGTTATGTTCGACAAGCGGCGTATTCGCCGGGGATTCTGATCCATTCAGATCCATTGCCGTATTCTCGCGGTAACTTGTGTCAATCTCGTCGAAGATTCGCACTACCGCTCACGTTGCTTTCTTGACAGATCCTTTTCCCTGCCGAGTATAAACGGATTCGTCGTTCTTGCACGATGGTGAAATATTACGAGAATATCACAATCTTCAAGTTTGATTGGACGCAAGTCGTTCGAGGATTCTTTCAGAGATATCCGAATCCGCACAGGTGATCGGACACGTTACATCACATGCGTAACTGAAATACAAATATTACATAACGTTGTGCATTCATCGGAATTCACGTGCAATACGATTTTCAGTTCGCACGTTCTCTCCGAGGATACGATCTCCAGAGAAGTTAAAAATGGAAAGCTCTACTCCAAGCGGCTGCTGACAAAAACCAACAGAGTACCCAAATGGGGTGAAAGATTCATTAGTAAGAACATTGTAAAAATTGTGGAAGAGAGTATTGTCGATCCAGAAGCAAAGACTCTGACTACATATACAAGGAATTTGGGATATACCAAAGTTATGGTAAGCTACCTAGAAAACAAACTGATATTATCATTATTGTAGGACAAATGTTAAAACGATAAATGTTAGCTTGTTTCCTGGATGATCTAAATTGGATTTTAGAGAAATAGATAATGAAGATATTTTTTTTTTTACAAAAAGTCCTATTTTAAATAAATTAGTAAAAAATTAAATAATACTACAAAAACACACGTACATAATTTATAAAACTAATATTTAGTTATAAATTCTTTTATCTATTTGATTGCTAAATAGTAAAAACATTTAAAGATTGATAATCTTGATACAGAAACCAGATTATAATTATTAATTATTATAATTGATAATTAGGTTTTTAACAGAATTATAATTTTTTTAGAGCATTGTCGAGAAAGTGGTTTATCAGATCTCTGATGAAAATCCAGACTGGACAATTGCAAAGAGATCGGCATGGATAGACAGTCAAGTCTTTGGTTTCAGTAGAGCGATTCAAGCCTTTGGCTTAGATCGGTTTAAAAAGAATTGCGCCAAAATGTCGGAGGGCTTCAATTACGTTCTCGCCAATATGTTTCCCCATGCAACACAGTTTTTAAATCCTAAATTGTCTCAGACAAGTTTTTCGGTACAAGCCGGCCACAGCACTGCAGATGATGGTGTTACGATAAAGCCGAGTCTTGCAGAAGACTTACAACATTCTTTACAGGGTAAAGCAGAGAAGGTCAAAGACGCTGCTAAGAAAGCCACAGATTTAGCAAAGGAAAAAGCAAGACCGATATATGCAGCCTGTCAACCAAATCAATCGTAAATTTATATATTCCACAAACGCAAAGTGCAAAACTGTATCATTGAATAATATCGCTTAGCGATAGAAATATTCTCGAATAACACGGTATTATTGATGTATCTTGAACAAAACAATGGTAAAGATTTAGAGAATGCAATTATTTGTATATTAATTAATAGGCACAGTTTAATGACACAGTGCAAAAAGATTTAAAAAGTTGGTTGATTAAACAACACATAATGAAACTTGAGAAAATTTGTTAGGCTTGATAGCACAAGATTCTTATCGTAACATTTATACACATGTAAAATTTGCTAAAGTTTCTTGAGTCTAATCCATTTGTAATGTTATCATTCCTTTTAACTGCCAAATTATTAAGCGTGTTATCAAATGTGATACATACTTGCATCAGAAATGAGCATTAAATTATTTATTTTTTACACATAAAAATATTTTCTATTTCTTTTACAATCGTAAAATATCTTTCGTAAATATACAAGATATGCAAGAAGTATTCTGATATGCTTATCGATGTATATCAGCACTCATTCGTGCATTTCGTGCATACCTAAAGCTTGCAATTGACAATTGTAAAGAACAGCATTTCATACGTAATTATTAATGCCAATGAAAACAATTACATACGTTACAAATATACATTCAAGTAGTTTTACAATAAATCTTTTTCTCTGTTAATATAATAAATGTAGTTTGTAGATATGCGTCGGCATGGATAGTGTCAATTGACCAATTGCAATTGACCTCTGCAAGTTACTGAAAGACTTGATTCCATACATTATCAATGTATCATAATTTCAGTATATGTTGCCATACGTTAAAATGATTATAACTGTAATTTAAAATTGTTGTACAGTATTTCTATATTTTAAATATTTTTCTTTGAATTGTTATTAAAAAGATTTAAATTATTAATAAATTATAAATATTTTGGGCAACTAAAATTAAATGAAATTTTCATGAATGTAATTAATGCTCTTACATGTATTTAAATAAAGTTTCAATTCCATAATCTTTTTAAATAAATCTCAATATTTCTAATAACAAATTTAATATACCTATGGTCTTTATGCAATCGGATCATGTAACGAAGTATGAGATGCAAAAGGCGAGTAAAGCTACACGCGTTATTAAAAATTGCAAATGCGATTAAAAAATCATTTGATCGACACTCGCATGTTATCACTCAGTCACAAGTGAAAGGCATGGAATTATGTCGTAATCTCGCGGAAATCGCAAATGCGATCGCAAAAACTTCCATTGATACTCATATATATGCTTTATTGTATTCGTATAAAACAACGCATTTAACTATTTCGTAATTTTAACTTGTGACGCAACTATTGTATATTCGCGTTTTCCGAATTGTAAATATATAACATAAAAATTTAGTTCATTTAAAACATTAATTACATAATTTATATATACGATTTACATTCTACACATAGAGAAGTCAGATTGAAAACAATGTTCCACTTATTTTTATTTTTATATTATGTTTTATATTTTTATGAAAAATATATATTATGTAAAAATATTTATACATTACATTGTAAAGGCATACAATGTAAGATATTTTTTGATAGTAGAACACAAAATGGTTTTTAACAGAATACAAAAAAAAAACAATTTTTAGTTTAAGACAGTATAATGTATAAATTTATTTGATATCAATTTATTAAATTAAAATAAATGTTTATTTTTAATATTATAAATATTATATCTATTTCACACACACATATATACATTTTCCAGAGTGATAGGATGTTAACTAGGTAACCCTGTATTATTTTCCTTCTTTTATGATTTAAAAGTTAAACGTTTTCTGTAGGCTAGAGCAAAAGAAAAATTATGTAAGCATAAATATATATATATATACTTATATACTATTTTTATCCACAATTTGTGGATATAGCAAAACTCATTCATTATCAGCAGTACGACTTTATCAGCAGTGTCGATATTTTGTGATACGTACTTCATATTCTATTTTATTAAATAGATATTGGTGCCGCTAGTGTACGAGGATTTTGTACCGTGTGATGTGATGTCAAAAAAGGTCGAGATGGGTGCTGTCACGACATAAGAATATCTTAGCCCGGATCCTCATATGGGCAACAGCGCTTTGACATCGAACGCTGATTGGTGAAAAACGGGTGATGGAGTTAAATTGTACCATCACAACCGGCTTTTCACCAATCAGCGCTTTGTGTCAAAGCACTGTTGCCTGTATGAGGATCCGCGCTTATATCATGGGTGCTCTCAGGTTTTATTTCTACACGGAGTAAATACATCGTTTTTTATAATTTATTAAAAATCGTGCAATGTCACGTAGTAATATACAAATTACAAGATAGTTGTTGAAGTTATTTATGCTGTCTTAGATAACAAAATTATATAATGTAAACGGTGATCATGGCCTCGTTACTTGTAAATCGTGCAGTTAGTGATACTACTACACAGTTTTGTTCGTTAATCGAAAGACTACTTTCGTTAACTAGTACGAAACTCAGCAACAAGAAACAAATTAATGCGTGTTTAAATGATCTCAACGAACTAGATTACAGATGCCTCAATATTGTAAATAATGATGTAAGGAATATTTGATATTTTGTTGACTAATACAAAACACATTGTACTAGTTGCATCTTAAACTATATTTTGTGATTTATTAAAATTTCTATTTCCAGGCAATATTATTATTGGTGAATCAACTTTGTGCAGCAGTTCTACCTACAGAAACATCTTTAGTTCAAAATGTTTGCAAATTTCTATATAATTTAACTCAGAGCAACATCAAGCTTCATGGTCGAACATTTGTAACTTGCAAACGATGGATTTTAGAAGCGTTGGAGTTTGCTGACCCACTGGCACAAGTTGATGTATTAATCGCTATAAAAAGCTTTTTACATTTTGGTTATTTTGATGACATCAATCATGTTAGTATATGGCTTCTTTTTCAACAACAGATTATTAAATTAAATTGTTACATCATTATATAAAATTAGGCAACTACTTGATGTTTCAGCATGTACGTCTGTTACTTAAGGATAAGGGTTTGTTAATGAAGCATTTAAATCCATTATGTAATCCATGGTCTGAAATTAATTTCCATGCACTTGGATGTTTAGAAGAAATTGTAACAAACAAAAGCAACAATCATTGCTTATCAGATGAATTTACATATTTGATAAAAAATATAATTTTTAAAATTTTATCACTTCTACCATATCATAATGATGATAAGCTTTGCTACAGCAAGGTATGTAATTTACTTTTTGTACAATTCAAAAGGTATATATGCATACACATTTCATTGAGTTACTTATACATTTATAGATCATAAATTTATGCTTGCACATTTTACATTGTATGATCATTGAAAAATTGATCCTTAAATCTCCTGATCTTATTGGAGAAATATTAGGAGTGGTGCAAGCGTTCCTATTTTATGGTATCAAAGGTTATTCAGTCACAAGCCCACAATTACTTCGTCCAGCTGCCATGAATCTCCCAGAACGTGTTCACATAGTTCCCAAATGCAAGAATCTTAAAAATCACAAAGCAAGATCTAGGAAAACACTAGCTAAGAAAAATACGTCCGATTCAGGAAATAATGCCATTCCAGAACACACAGGAATTTCCAAATATTCCAGTGATTCAGATACTTCAGATACAGAGATTAATAATTCTATCCACATCGATTCCAAAGTAAGATTGGGAGCTGTACGTTTATTGCAGATTCTAGTAGAAATCACTCGGAGTAAAGAGATTTTCGGATACTGGCCGCAAATCGTAGCTACCGGTTCACGAAACGACGCAAGAGTATTGACAAGAAGCATTCTAGTTGAACCTGTGTCTAAAGTGCGACAGAATGTATTGTGTGCATTAACTGAATTATTGATAGATGCTAAACCATTTTTAATACACGCCGAGGATACCAATCATACCTCTTTCATCACATTCTTTGGCACAGTATGTTTAATGGTCAAGGAACTACATTTTACATTATCATTAATTTTGCTGGCTGAAAAAAATGTAGCTGTGTTAACGCACGCGTTAAAATGCACAGCAGCTCTTGTACAGGGCACACCATACGAACGACTGAAACCAGGTTTGGCTACCAAATTAGTTAGAAATTGTAAGCCGCATATATTTCACAAAGGTACATTTTGCCTTTATTATTCTACTTAATTTTTAATTCGTTACTTTCATTACAGTCAAGTTATTTTTCTAGATCCGACTGTACGAGTTGCGGCACTATCTATTTTTGAAGCATTTGTCTCAAGTGAACCTATAACGCAGGAAATATTAAACATATTAGCTAAGCAAACTGTAGGTGAAATAGGATCAGAAAGTTCGCAGTTTGATACTAGTTCCATCAGTGACATTGGAACAGAAGAAGAGGAAATAGATGTCGAGGATATCGAAAATTCAACAAATAGTTGTAATGAAATCACATCAATATCAAAAGATGAAAATGCTTGTTTGCTGGTTCGCGTTTGTTTACAAAATATATCTAATAAGGTATATATAAACGATATACATACTTTTTTTTCGTGTGATTTGAAGGTTTTTGTAATTAAAGCAGTTATCAGTCAAACTGAAAAAATTATGTTGCTCCATTTTAGTCAGTTAATACACCTGTACGACTTCAATCTTTAAAACTTATGGGCAGACTGGTATTTAATACAGGAAATCTTATATTTCCTCATTTGGAGAATGTGACTACAGCTTTAATTTCGGTTATGGAGGAAACAGAAAACCAAGTAATATTACACGCATGTCGAGTTTTAGAGATTATGTCCGGTTGCCTCGCAAATACTGAAACTTATAGCAATGGTATATTATTTTGGAATATTATATTTGAATCTATAATATCACTTGCCCAAACATCACGGACTATATTGCGAGAAGCTGCTTGCGATTGTCTAGGTAGCATCAGTGGAAATGTATTCACACAATTATCGGTAAGAATAATTGGAACAAAAAGGATATAATTATTCAAATTTTTATTTCTTCATTTATAAATTTATGACATTCATCAAGCTAAATATTTTTCATATCATCTTTAATATTCTGCTTTATTTTCATTTATATTTGCAGAGACAAAGAGTCATATTAATAATTACAATTCTATTTGGAGCAGTTCGTGATGAAGAAAGTGCTGTAAGAGCAGCTGGCTTACGTGCATTAGGAATGTTGGTAACTTTACCGTCTTTGGAACACGCTACCGGCTTTCTCATGGATCTGGCTGATACAGTTTGTTTAGCTTTTGAGGACAAAAATCTTGGTGTTCGTGTAAAAAGTGCTTGGGCATTAGCGAATTTGTGTGACTGTCTTTCCAGGCAAAAGTTTGTTTTTCAGACTTTCTTCTTTCATTATCTTCTTTGTGCGCGACATATTTTCTCTATTTATATAAAAATATATCTTTTATCCAGACAGCATGAAGATGTGGAACCATTTCCTTTAGAAGATTTATTACCCAAATTGTATCATATAAGCGTTAAAGCTACAAAAGATAATGATAAAGTGAAGTGTAACGCTGTCAGAGCAATTGGAACTATTTTATATTTATGTCCACAAAAATACATACTTTCCGACACGACAATAGGGTTGGACGCACTTATCAAATGTGCCGTTTTAGGAAATGATATGAAAGTAAGAGAAAAAATTCTGATGATTTATAATTATTATTATAATATTTCCATAATTATTTATGTATATATTTTTTAATTTAAAATAGATTTATTTATGATCAAACTTATTATCTCGATACTTGCGCATTAAATGTTTTGTTATTGTTTTGCGAAGTATGTAAGCTGTAATAAATATTTCTTGATTTATTTAATAAAAATAAATTTTTTGTATTTATAACATTAGGTACGATGGAACGCTTGCCGAGCTTTAGGATTGGTTTTGAGCCACGATCCAGACACGATATTGCCATCTTCTTGGAAAGTATGTACTTGAAAAAATGTGATTAGTGAATTTATCTTGTGTAAATATATAAAACTAGATATTTTTATAGGATCAAGTATTTCCAGCGCTTTCGACTTTGATATGCGATAGTCCTAATTTTAAAGTACGAACTAATGCCGCATGGGCACTGTCTTCATGTAATAACTACGGTAAATATACTGTAATGTTGTGGAAAAATATTGTATTAGCATTTGAAAATGCTCAACATGTACCAAGCTATGTTGAATATCCACATCGAGATGCACTCATTCAACAAGTAAGTATGCTTTTTCTTATAATACATAACAATATTCTTGGAATATTATTAGTCATGTATTAATATAAAAAATATATACTTTTTAATTATTATTTAACAAGCAGAAAATATTTTTCAGTTGTGCCTTACTCTTAGTTGCGTGGCTGCCCATACAGAAAAATCCGAATTACAGAGTCTTTGGATAGAGATTGGCGACCATTTAGAAGAAATTTCCAATTTTATGAAACAATTTCAGGTATAGTTGTATTATACAAAATATAATTATTAAATCAGATATACAAGAACGTAATTTTATAATTTTGGTGTATTGAAATTTTTGTTGTAGGAGACTGTTTTACCCGAAAAGCTAGGAGATTTAATTAAAGCAAAAGTCCAATTAGCACAACATGTGAAAAATGCACATTCTGTTGAAGAACGACAAATCGCTCAATCTTTAGCAAATATATTCGAGAAGACTAATCGCTATGACAATCTAGATGCCATTACTTCTACGATATAGAATTATATATACAATTAAAATGATGAAAAAAAAATAAAGCAATGTAACATATTTTTTATTATTTTTTTACCAGCTATTTATTGCAATTTACAATTTTTATTAATAGAGAAAGCTTAATAAAAAAATCAGTGGAATTAAAAATATATATGTAAATTATTTTAATATTGTTTAAAAAATCTGTACAATATAAAATTGATTATTATGATATATAATTTTAATTATGGATGAGTAACTGATACATTGCTTCAAAAAATCTATCAATGTTCTAGTTTCCACTGAAATCTTCAGTTCGGTTCCACTATAATGCAAATCAAATTTAAAGTAATATTTCTTCATTAGATTTGGACTTTGTGGATCAAAGCAGAAATGAAATGAGTGCAATCAATCTCCATAGACTTTGAGTGTACTTCACATTGAGTGGAAACTAGATCAATCTAAAATTTAAGAGATACTGGAGCATTAATATACAGGTCAAGTGCCATCTTCACATTGAATATTTTTGCTTAATACCTCAGATTGTGTTTTTAACGTATCTTCTTGATTTTCTCTCACAGATAATGACGATTCCTTTTCTGTCACTGACATTACTTCACTTTCATTCATAGACACGTTTTTAGGACAACTGTCATTTTCTTTAGTTACTTTACTATTTTCTATAGTTTTAGTTTCTTCATTCTCATCTGAACTGTCGTCCTCACTATACTTTTTGTCCGTGATAGCATTGTCTTCCTTATTATTAGCTTTCATAAATTTCTTCTGCTTACGTCCCTGCTTCTTCCTCAATCTCTTAGCACGTTTCTTTGCTGTTGCCTCCTCTGCCAATCTTCTATTCTCTTCCAACTTCTGATGGTATTCGTCATCTAAAAGTTCCTATAATTTTGACAAAAGAAAATTGTAATCAACAGGAAAAAAATGGATAATTTTTAGGCAACTCTAGATGTATGTTATACAATAATCACCTTATGTGCCTTCTCCTGAATAAATTTTTGCCGCGCATACTCCTTACGTCGCAGATGTCTGTACACGTGAAACTCTCCACTACCTGCTCCAGCACTGCTACCCATAACATTACGAACAAATTCTGGTACAGAAGGAGTATTCTTGGCCTTTGGACGTTCCGGTAGTATAACCGGTTTATCCTGTACAATTAAAACACAAATTATATAATATAATTTTGATTCAAATAACGCCTCAAATAAGAAACCTTCTTACAACGTTCTTCATTAATTTCATTAGTTTCAATCTTTGCAGATCCACAGCTGTTTTTGGCACTACAGGTTTTTCTTCGTCCTTTTCCTTGTCGTCCGACATTTTTCTACTTCGTAGATACGAAGAAGTGAATTAACTCGGCAGTATAAAACTTCGTGACTCTGATTCTCTTAAAATAAACTTGTTGGTTAGCATACCAATAACATACCGCGTCTTTAGAATATTCTAGTACAATTTAATGTAGGACAGAAAAAAACCTATGATCTTGAATATTCCTAAACCTATCAACCTTAATAGCGATTGAAGATTGCCGTCTGCGTTCTGGCCAACAGCTTCTTTTTAATTAAGCTGATCACACACACTTTTCGTAACAATAACTGTAAACATAAGCCAAGAAACGCAAATATAGACGCAGTTTTAAATGCAATTTCACGTGATACAGGTATTGTATTATAAGCTGTAGACTCAACAGTTGAGTGATGACTCGCTGCAATTGATATTTCTTCTAGATCTAAATCTCTGATTGGATAATCTAAAAGAATACATCAATAACAGCGAAACTCACTCAACTGTTGAGTCCGTTGAATGCGCCCGTTGTAAGAGTAGTTTCAAACGGTTGGAGACACTTGGGGAGAGAGGAGATAGCTAAGATTTGAAAAACAGTTTTAATAAATGTGACGAAGGTGTAACCGAAAATTTTTAAATAATTTGTGCAAAATAGGTATGTGCCTCATATGCCTGTTAACGACGAACGTATGTTTTTATCTTCGCGATTTGACGAAATTATAGAAATTTATGTCATTATATCACCATATTTGTAACTTAACCTACACCATTCTGTCATCATACAAAAGATGCTAAATTTTACATAAAACAACTTTTACCGATTTGTTTTTATAATAATAAATATAATGAATAATAATTTAATTATTTTTAATTATAAGTGTAATTAGATTAAAATATTTTTATAATTAGCAGCAAAATGAAATATATAAAAATATTCTAATTTTCTACATTTTTTAGATTGACATATATATACGTACATAATGGAAGATACAAATGATTTTATGGATGATTCAGTAATAGATGTTTCCTCCACCTTCATAGATGTTATCGATTTAACTAAGGAATCACCAAGTTCAGTTAGACCTTCAAGATTACAGAGAAATGTCCGAAGTGTATCTTCTAGCGATAATGTAGCTAGAAATTCAGATCCTCGTATATCTCCTACTGTTTTAGGAAATATCCAAGAAGATACTCAAAGGTTTGTATATACTTTTTGACGAAAAATAAATAGATTTATTTTAAAGCTAAAAATATATTTTTAGGAAAAAAACTAGAAAGGAAGGAAGAGTTTCTCTGGCTACAGACTCAAATGAAGTTTTGATCCTTGACAATACTATTGAAGAAGATAAAATATGTTATACAGTTCAATCAGATATTAAAGAACCAGTACCTCTTACATGCCCAATATGTTTGGAAGCTATATCTTCCAAACTAAAACCTTATACTACTCGTTGTGGACATCTATTTTGCTCAGAATGTTTGCTGACATACCTTCAGACATCTAAAAAATGCCCAACTTGTAACACAACTATAGCTTTAAAATCTTGTACTCGTTTATATCTTTAAATATTGTAGAACATTGCAAACCGTTCCATATCTTTTGGTAGTATTTCATTTTGTAACTTTATTTATATATACATAAATTGGCAATTGTAAATCTTCAATTTTGTTTTTATACATTAAAAAAAACTTTTCACAGAGAGGTTTTTACAATATTTTATCATTTAAGAAAACGTGTAATATATACGTTCTATTAATTTGTATTTTTTTGGAAACTTATGTCTAAAATTCTAAGCAAAATCATAACATATTCTTGTAAGACTTGTAAAAATTTTTAAGTACCTTTATATTTTGATAGACAACTTCTTACGTACGATTATTCGTAAATATCTACGATTTCTTGAATCGAAATTTTAACCATAAAGTTTACAAGAAATCATAGATATTTACGAATAATCATACGTCTTGCAATACGTACGCATAAAATTAGAATATTAGTCATAAGTTCTTACAAGTTTTATAAGAACACATTACAAGTCTTACGATTAGCCTATAAACAAATCTTAATTAAGAGACAAGGCGATTACAAAATCGAGTTAGTTTATTACCATAATTAGTTATAATATATTTTCAAAATAATAAATTATGTATTTTATGCTATAATATTAAAATGTAATTAGACGCCTTTTAATTATCTTAATTTAATTAAATACAATCACGTTCGTATATAAGTGTATATATTTTCTTATTTACACACTGATCCATAATGTATATATTTGTTTACGTTATTCGAGTATGTAACCTTGCGATATCTGTTAACTTTCATAAGAAAATAACTATTTCCCATTCTCTGCTTAGATACAGTAAGGCAATCTTGTTCCAAATTAAAATCTACTTTGAAAAGATATAGTGTATTCTTTTAACGTTTTCAAAGAAAAAGAAATATATAGACAATGTTCATGACAGATACAATATTATTTTTTATTGTAGAATTTTTAACCGTTATAGAATTTTTATGTAAGTAAATTAAAAAAACAGGATTTGCCTCAATCAATTTTAATTTCTATCGTACGATTTTATCTGTATTACAAGTAAATATTCTTTATAATTGGAATATGTTTTGAAAGATTGTTATCTTGTAATAACAATGTATCTATTGTAGTTCAGTATGAGTATATTGGAATACAGCCAATACCAAGATAAATGACAGAACGAAATATAATTGATTCGAGTCTGTAAATAATGAGGTGTCTATATTAAAGGTTTTTATTAATATACTCAGTCATTATTCACGGTGTACATAAATTTCTACCGCTACTTGGTCTAGAGAAATAAAAATTCTCAGGTTTCACGTTTTTTTCAGATCAACTAAAACAGTATTGAGCTAGCATTGAATAATTTTGAAACATAAAAATTAATAAATGACATGACAAAAGAAAATAAGTTTTCGACTTTTATGCATTCTATCAAGTGGTAATTAACAAAATCTGTTATAAAAAAACGGCTACATATCTGCTTAATGAATAATCGCGATACAGGGGAAAAAATGACGTTATATACATTGTATATGTATAAAGACAATTTGGAACGATTTGACATTACAATCAAATTTGTCAGTTAGAGATCAATGAAATT